AAGTATATTTTTGTGGTGATGTTTTTCCAATGGTCAGAGGTGGCTTATGTAATTAGAAAAAAGTAAAGAAATAAGAAACTTCAAACTACTAGTACAGTCGAAAATGTAATGAGTACTTGGTTGGGGCTCCTTCACCCTCCTTCAGCTCATCTATATTTCTAGGTTGGGTTTTTTCTTATCTTCCTCCTCACAATACCTCTATGGGTTTAAGGTTAAGGACGCTGGTTGTCCAATAAAGCACAGTATGTCATGAGACTACGGCAGCAGACAGTGAGGAAAGAAGATAAGGACCCAAATGCATACATGTACAGGCAGTAGTGGGTTTTAACAAAACATAAGCCGTTTATTAAAAGCTGAATGAAAATACTAGCAAGACTGGGACAGGGAACCCTGAAACATGGACAAGAGAAGCAGACGTCCTGATAAGAGACAAAGAGAAAACAGACAAAATATATACACACACGAGGGTGATTAGGGAGAATGGAAGCACACTGGAAACACAGCTGGAAAGACTTGACAAAGACACAGGGAAAGCAAATATAGCATTGACACTCTGTAGCTGCATCAAATTTCCATGATATAACCAAATTCTGACTAGCAGACTGTGACCTGGACATAGTGTAGGTGGCAAAAGTCTGTGACAAATAAGCCTGCACAGCAACAGACGTGTGCAGATCAACGATGGATAATATGGAGTGCAGGAGAGAGTACGACCGTGCAGCGTTTAAAGCTTGGAAGTACTCACATTACTTTGAGTTTGATTCTGTAAAAAATTACAAAAACATCAGCGTCTGCTGTTCACTCTGCGTGGGAAGAAAACTTCTTTCTACAGCGAAAAATTAAACTTCAAATCTGAGCGAGCTCCGAGCACGCTGCCACGGGAATGTGACATTCACAGAGAAACCCCCGGATCCTCCCACTGACATGACCACTGTGGCACCGGACAAACCTCCACCCGCCCCACTCCTGCTAAACAGGTGACAACAAATTTAAGAGACAGGACTCAGTGCTGCTGAATCTTTGCTTTTATTTATTATTTGCTGTGTTTTACTTGCATCTATTTGAAAAAGTGTAAACACAGAACTTTATTTTATTTTATAAGCCGGAAACTGCAGGAAATAGGTTTAAATGTTAAACACATTTCTTCCAGTCAGAAACTGCTGCATATAATTAAATTTTTGCTTGATGCAATGTGCATGAAGTTAAAAGATTAAAACTAATAAAACAATTTTTAAAAACAGACTTTTTCATTTGATTCAGTTTAATATGATGGATTACGCAGAAAAAATAGAATTGGGCTGAAAGATCTGTTGCTTTATTACTTATTCAGGTTGTGTATCTTGTGTATATTTTTAAAAAGTACCTAAGTAATAAAGTGACTAATTACTTTTGAAAATAAGTCATCAGTAAAGTAATGGGATTACTTTTTGGAGCAGTAATCAGTAATTAGTAACTAATTATTATTTTCAAGTAACTTGACCAACACTGGTAAAGACACATATCAAAGAGGTGAGAGCTGTTTTTTGTTCGACTACAAATTAGTAGCAAATTAAATTTGAAGTAGTAGATGTCGGGTTTTTGTCTTTATTTTTATTTTTATTTTTATTTTTATTTTTTTTTGCAGTAGCTGACCCTGTGTTAGCTCAGTATAAACCTTTATATTTGATAGCATAATGTCGTACGAAGAAGTAAAGATTGTTATTAAACAGAAAAGATTTAAAATAAGAAAGTAATCAGTGCACTGTTCTCTCACCTGTCATAGTCTCCATTACAAAGTGCTCGAACAGGAATAGTAAATGACTGCCACACAGGGTTTAGGTTGTTTTTGATGACCTCAGTCTTGTGACAGATCGTAAACCTGCAAACAAAAGGAGACATCTCAACACAGATGAAATGTCAGAAGGGGGGAGGTTTTTTTTTTTTATCATGAAACACATGTTGGTGGGCTCTAGGACTGACAGGAAATAGTGAACAAAATGTATCCCTGGATACCACATATCCCTGGTTAAATAATGACATTTGGTAAGGCTTCATGCTACTCATCATCTAAATGAAATGTAACATTAGACACCAGAAACAGTCCAGAGTAAACAGAACGTTTTTATCCTGAACTATATTTTTGAAATACTTAAAACTTAAACGAAGTACAAATTAAAACATTCTACTTTAGTGTAGAGAAAATCTATAACCACTTCTTCCTTCTGAAGAGTTAGTACCTTTCACTCTCCTCGTGGGACTGGATCCAAAAGACAAATGTGTTAGCTTTTTTTTTTTACTCACCGGCAGTAATAAGGCCAGAACTGGAACTGAGGAGCAGCGCTTTTCTTTAGATAACTATAGCTAACAGATTGACTGCATATCAGAGGATATACAGTTTCTCTAACAATTCATACATTCCAAACAAAAACACTCACGTGCCATCCTCGTTGCTCCGGTAGAAGACAAGGAAAGGATCAGACTTGCCAAAGAAATCCTTTTTATCCAGCTTGTTTGCACAAAACTGCATAGTGGCTATGTCCTAAGAAAACAAGAACAGTTTCTTTCAGAATCCTG